GTGGTTTGGACATGTCCAGAGGAGGGACAGTGGTTTGGACATGTCCACAGGAGGGACAGTGGTTTGGATATGTCCACAGGAGGGACAGTGGGTATATTGGTAGACGGATGTTAGAAATGCAGCTGCCAGGAAAAAGACAACGATGATGCAGTTATCTCTGGAGTAAAATTGTTGCATTTCAGAATACATCTGTAAACCAGTATACTGTAAAGCTATAACATTTTATTACTGGTACTCTTTAATTTTCCGTGGTGTCATTTCCTGCAGAGCCTCCTAACTGATCTCTGGGAACTGGATTTGTACCAGAAGCTGAAAAGTCCAGTCACAAGTTTTCAGAGTTTAACTTCATCTTGTGATCTTCTGAGAGCAGAGCTAACTAAAGGCTCATTATTTGGAAAAGTCATACCAGGGTTAAACAATCTGCTACTTTGCAGCTTCTGAGAAAGCTTTTTAAGGTACATTTGTACTTCAGGAATCTTTTCAAGGAACCAGCCTGGTTTTTCTGGGCTGTATTTTTACCCCCGTTTGTTTCCACTGCAGGAACCAGGGCCAAAACAGGTCGAATTTTACTCCAGGTAGAAAATTCCCTCCAGCAAATGGTCCAGACTTCAGTGGAAACACAACAAACAAGTGCTGTGGAAATGTTGATGGTCCTGGCTAATTAGATATCGGGGAGGATAGGTTTTGGGTCACATAGTGTAAACATGCTTAACGTTCCACACATATATCTACCTTAATCTTAGCCCCCATGCTGCCTTGTGTGAATTATGGGCACAACTTCTGGACCAAAACCGGCATTTGTTTCTGTGTGAACAGTACGAGCTAATGCAGTTTCTCTGAGCATTCTGGATTTAATTGAAACATGGAGGAACACCACCTGTCAGAGCTCCAACAGGATAATATAATCATACTGCTGCTGCTGAGGACGAGCTGAAGAAGTGGCTGCAGATTACATCTACTAGCATATTTAGCTACTTATACTAGCATATTTAGCTACATATACTAGCATATTTAGCTACTTATACTAGCATATTTAGCTACATCTACTAGCATATTTAGCTACTTATACTAGCATATTTAGCTACATCTACTAGCATATTTAGCTACATCTAC